TTAATATGTAACATTGAACTAATAAGCAATAAACTGTTAAACAATTAAGAACCCAGTAAAATATAATAACACTAAACAAATCTATGATTAACTAACATCAATAAACAAACTAATTTATAAACATGAATTCAACAAGTAAAGATTAAACACTAATTCATGAATTTAAACTACTATCAGTAAGAACAGAGGAAGAATCAAAAACAAAAATTTAAATGACAAAAACACAAGTACTGATTACTGCCAAAGAAAAAGAAAAAGAAAGAAAGAAGAAAAAGATCATAAGGAAAGGATGAACAAATTAACAGAAACAAGGAAAAATTATATTCAAACTAAAGAAATAGGAGCAACTTACCTGCGCATGACCAGACTCAAAAAATTGAGTAAAGATCGAGCAAAATGACCTTCTAGGGTTCCGCCGGCTCTGTGATTTAAGATTCGAGCCGTTCTGGTGACGTTTGGAAAAATCCAGTTGGGTATTAGGAATGAGGAAGGTTAGGAGGTGCTGTGGTGTCATTTTGGAGTTGTTTGGAGCCGGCGCCGCCATGTGCGGCGGTGGCGGCGCCTAGGGTTTCGTTAATTTTGGGATTTTGGGTGGGATTTGCAATGTAAAATAGGGGTATTTGTGACGGGGAGGTTGAAAGGATTTCATGGTGAAATTTTGAACGGATTTGGGTGACCGCCGTCGGGGGAGACGATTTCCGGCTGGCGGCTCATGGAGGAGAGGCGGAGACGATGGAGGTCGTCTATGATGAGAGTGGGGTGAGAGAGACGGGCTTTGGGGTGGGTAGGTGAGGTTAGGACAATTATATATCAACCCTACCCATACTTCCCAACCGTTGGATCAAGCCAACCTAGACGGCTAGGATTGCTTTGATCCAAACGGCGTCGTTTTGAATGGTAGGGGCTGGACCGGGTCTGGGGTGTCATATTGGGCCAAATTTGGACGGGTTTTTGAGCCAAATTTTTGGGCCTGAGGAATTTCAATTAAAAATGGCCCAAAAAGACTTATCTTTCAATTTCTATTCTTTTTTCTTTCCATTTCTTTTCAAATCTTTTTTCTTTCTTTTCAAATTAAAAATAAAACCTACATTAATTCTAAACCAAATTTATCCTACCATATTAGATTAATGTTCAAAATAATATTTACAACAACTAATTAACTACCAAATTAAAAGAAAACTGCACGATTCGAAACTAAATGCCAAAATGAGTTATTTTTGTGATTTTCTATTTTTGTAACAGAACTAAATTACTAACTAATGCCAAATTAAATCCTAAATGCAAATGCAACATATTTTTTGTATTTTTCATGAATTAAATAAAATAAACATGCACAAACAAATGCAGACAATTAACAGAAAATTCCACGAAAATCCACAAAATTGCAAGTAATGAAAAGAAATTATTTTGTTTTGAATTTATGGGAGTAATTCATATAGGGCAAAAATCATGTGCTCACAATTCTAATTGAACCTGAACGGCGCCAGATCCGCGGTCGGATCCGCGGTCACGTCCGCGGCCGCGGACAGAACACCATGCACAATATGCGGTCGATCCGCGATCGGATCTGCGGCCGCGGATTGAGGCATCAGATTTTTTTTTTTTTTGCTTTTTTGCACTTTTTCCTCTCTCCGGGATAATTTCGTCACCCCGAGTCCTTCTGTTGCGCATACCTTCGTTCCTGCACCTTAGTAGATCGATCAATATTGTCACCGTTCAAAAATCAATTACAAAAATAAGAACAAAGAAAAAATAATGGGTTGCCTCCCAGAAAGCGCCTAATTAACGCCGCGGCACGACGATTTACAATAAACCATGGGTTGCCTCCCACGAAGCGCCTGATTTAACGTCGAGGCACGACGCAGGCTTTCATTATTATTCTTCGCTCATGTATTGGGGCTCTTCCAAAGATATCACCACTCTATCCCCCTTTTCTTCGACAATTCCAAGGTAATGTTTCAACCTTTGCCCATTCACTGTGAACTTATTTGTTCCATCTTCGGATTCAATTTCTACAGCCCCACTTGAGAACACTTGCACCACTCTGAAGGGTACTGACCATCGAGACTTCAATTTACCGGGATGCAATCTTAGTCTCGAGTTGTATAACAACACTAGATCTCCGGGTTTGAAATTCCGATCTAGAATATGCTTATCATGCATCATTTTCATCCTTTCTTTGTACAATCTTGCATTCTCAAATGCATGGAACCTGAATTCCTCGAGTTCATGTAACCCAGTGACTCTACTGGTGCCTACAGTCTCCATATCCAAATTCAACTGCGCAGTGCCCAAAGGACTTTATGCTCGAGCTCTACCGGAAGGTGGCATGCTTTTCCAAACACCAACTTGTATGGTGACATACCAATTGGAGTTTTAAATGTTGTGCGGTATGCCCATAATGCATCATCCAGCTTCTTTGCCCAATCAGTCCTTGTCGCATTCACTGTCTTGGTTAGGACACTTTTGATTTCCCGGTTTGACACTTCAACTTGCTCGCTTGACTGTGGGTGATAAGGGGTGGTCACCTTATGGCGAACTCCATACTTTTCCAATAGCTGTGCGAACGCTCTATTGTAAAAATGGGTTTCACCATCACTGATTATAGCTCTCGGGGTGCCAAAACGTGTGAAGATGTTTTTCTTTAGAAAGCCTATCAGCCCCTTTGCATCATTGGTTAGAGAACCACATCTTTAACCCATTTGGAGACATAGTCAAATGCCACCAGTATGTATTTTTTACCATACGAGCTGATGAATGGCCCCATAAAGTCAATCCTCCACAAGTCAAATACCTCCACCTCTTGAATAGTAGTCATCGGCATCTCGTGACATCGAGATATGTTGCCTGTCCTTTGGCACTCATCGCATTTGCCCAAGCATGGGCATCGTTGAACAGAGTTGGCCAATACAAACCCGATTTCAACACTTTAGCTGCTATCCAAATCCCTCCAAAGTGTCCACCATATGGTGAAGCATGGCAAGCCTGCAAAACAGAAGGTTGATCTTTCTCGGGGATACACCTCCGGATCATGTTATCTACACATATTTTAAAAAGTAGAGGTTCATCCCAATAATAAGACCGACAATCGCGAAAGAACTTTTTCTTTTGAATTGAAGAGAGTTCATAAGGTACAATACCGCTTGCTAAATAATTAGCAATATCAGCATACCATGGTGTCTCCTCTATTGTCACTGCTAGTAACTGTTCATCTGGGAATGTCTCTGTTATATCTTCAACCTCTACCTTCTTTTCAGCCCCTTCCAACCTTGAGAGGTGGTCTGCTCTATCCCTTTTCTTTCACAGATCTCCAGATCGAATTCTTGTAGCAAAAGAACCCAGCGGATCAAGCGTGGCTTTGGCTCCTTCTTTGCTATCAAGTACCTAAGTGCTACATGGTCAGTATAAACAATAACTTTTGAACCAATCAAGTATGAACTGAATTTGTCAAATGCAAAAACTACAAACAACATCTCTTATTCCGTCACGGTGTAATTGAGTTGTGCACCGCTTAGCGTTCTGCTTGCATAGTAAATTGGGTGCATCAGCTTATCTTTTCGCTGCCCCAAGACTGCACCTATAGCATAGTCACTTGCGTCACAGATGAGCTCGAACGGTTGCTCCCAGTTGGGTGCAACAATGATAGGTGCAGTCACCAATCTCTTCTTCAGCTCCTCAAATGCCAACCTGCAATCATTAGAAAACACAAAGGGCTGATCCTTTTCAAGGAGTTTACATAAGGGGTTAGCAATCTTAGAGAAATCTTTTATGAATCGCTTGTAAAACCCGGCGTGCCCAAGGAAACTTCTCACTGCCTTGATCGAAGTGGGCGGTGGCAAATTCTCAATCACGCCTTAGCATGGTCAACCTTAATTCCTTTGCTGGACACTCGATGCCCCAAGACTATCCCTTCTTGTACCATAAAATGGCACTTCTCCCAATTCAGCACTAAATTTGTCTCCACACATCTTCTAAGCACTCTTCTTTAATGGTGAAGACAGTCCTCGAATGAATCCCCCACTACGGAGAAATCATCCATAAATACCTCCATAATGTCTTCAACCATGTCCGTGAAAATAGCTAACATACACCGCTGGAATATAGCCGGTGCATTACAAAGTCCAAAAGGCACTCTCCGAAAGGCAAAGATGACATACGGAGAGGTGAATGATGTTTTCTCTCTGTCTTCGGTGGCTACTGAGATCTGATTGTACCCCAAATATCCATCCAAGAAACAGAAGTGAGATCGCCCAGCCAACCTGTCCAGCATTTGGTTAATGAATGTCAAGGGAAAATGGTCCTTCCGGGTGGATGAGTTCAATTTTCGATCATCCATGCAAATCCGCCATCCCGTGACTGTAACAGTCGAGATCAACTCGTTATTCTCATTTTGTACCACCGTCATTCCTCCATTCTTTGGCACACACTGAACATGGCTGACCCAATTGCTGTCAGAGATGGGGAAGATGATACCCGCATCTAACCATTTGATCACTTCCTTCTTCACCACCTTTTTCATATTCGGGTTCAGCCTTCGTTGATGTTCTCTGGAAGGTTTGTGCCCTTCTTCCAAGAGAATCTTGTGCATACAAAAAGCTGGGCTGATACCCTTTATGTCCTGTAACACCTGTAGGAGTTGCTCTACACGCACAACTAGCAAACCGAATGATATAATAATAGGTAAAGTAGATTTCCGACGTTCAACGCTTCAACTTGGCCACTAAAGAAGGCGAAGGCTGGGCGAGATAATAGGCCAACAGGCCCTAAGAAAGCGTACCTGAGATGCGCTGGAAGCGGTTTCAGGTCCAACTGTGGTGTCTCCTCTATCGATGTTTCGCAGGTGGTGTTGTTCTTTCTTCTAAGTGTAAGGGCTCGAATTGGGGTTCCCTTTTCCATAACCCTTGACCTTCAAGAGCCATGACCCACTCTGCCAACTCCTCCCCATCCACATTTTCCAGATTTATCAAGCAGGCTTCTAATGGATCCCTGACATTAATAGTCTAATCCTCCTCTTGTAGTATTACATCTACGGCCTCCACTAGTGAGCAATTTGCAAATTCGCTGGGTCTCCTCATAGATTGTTGAACATTGAATATTATCTCTTCATTGTTCAACCTCATTTTCAATTCTCCAGTCTCACAATCAATCAGTGCTCTCCCAGTGGATAAAAACGGCCTGCCCAGAATGATTGGTATCTCTTCATCCACTTGACAATCAAGAATGACAGAGTCTGCAGGGAATACAAATTTCCCCACTTGAACAAGCACATCATCAAGAATTCCTGTCGGTCTTTTGACTGTGGGATCAGCCAGTTGTAGCAACATTGAGGTCGGTCTAGATCTGCCAATGCCCAATTTTGAATAGATTGCCAAGGGCATCAAGTTTTTACTGACTCCCAAGTCACACAATGCTTTAGCAAAAGCATAACTCCCAATGGTGCATGGGATAGTGAAACTACCTGGATCAGACACCTTTTGAGCCATAGACCTTGTCACTACCTCGCTGCAGGTCTGCGTCAGAGTTATAGTGGACAGGTCCTGGAAGTCAAATTTTTGCGACATCAGGTCCTTCATCATTTTTGCTTACCCTGGCATTTCCCTCAAAGCATCCATCAGTGGAATATTCAATTGAATTTTTCTGAGCATTTCCATGAATTTCCTGTATTGATCATCTTTCTTTTGCTTTGCCAACCTCTCAGGGAATGGTGCAGGAATCAACCTCTGCCCACTGCTTTGTGTCTTTTCTTTGCTGGACGCTTTTACTACCACCTGTTCTGGGAGTTGTTCACCTTCCTTCTCCTTACCCTTGTCAACCTGTGCTTGCTCGATTACAACCTCGGTGAGCTCTGCTGACTCATCTGTCTCTAATGTAACTAGAGTAGCTGGAGTAGGGTGCGTGGTCTCTCTCCTAGATTGAGCAACTTTTTGCTCCCTGTCTAAATCTCTCCCATTCCCGAGACTCACTGCCATGAGCTGATTTGGGTTCTGCTCCTTTGGATTAATGTTTGTATCTGTAGGCAATGTTCCTTGTGGGCGATTGTTCAAGGACATAGATAGCTGTCCTAATTGAGTTTCAATGCCTTTGATTGCTGAATCATGTGCAGATAACTTCTCTTGCATCTTTCCATTTGTCCTAGTGAGTTATTTCAACATACCCCTAATTTCGATCATGTTACTCTCTTGATGTTGATGAGGTGGTTGGTAGGCCAATTGTTGCTGGTGCTGCTGATTATAGCCCTGTTGCCTTTGATAAGGCACGACTTGGCCCTGTGGTCGTGCTCCTCCTGGATTGGGGTTGTGATGTGGCTGGTTTGGTCTGTACTTCTGGTTTGATGTTGGTCCCCATTGCTGCCCACCTTGTCTCTGACCTCCGAAATTATTGACATAATTCATGTCTTCCTTGAAACCCTGGTTGTCATTCTCTCCACTCCACGAGCACACATATGACTGGTTCATGCAAGGAGTGCATAAGCCTCCATTTGTGGTATCAACAATATGCACCTATTTCGTACCCATCTCATCGATTTTCTTTGTCAGCAAGCTCATCTAAGTCATGGGAGTCGCTATGTTTCTGCATTTATGTTTTTTGGGTCAAGAGCGACAGAATTCACTATTGGGGTGAGTGTTGTGTCTCTCGTCATCCAGCCTGAATTTTGAGACATCTTGTCAAGAAGAATCTTTCACTTTGTGAATGTTTTGCTCAAGAATGCACCCCCGGCAGAAGCATCTACATTAGCCTTCAGACTGTCAGCCAAACCCATATAGAATCTCTGTCCCAACATCTGATCCGGAATGCCATGGTGAGGACACTTCACTAACATACCTTAAACCTCTCCCAGGTTTCTTGCAAAGTCTCAGTCGGTTTCTGCCTGAATTGCAATATCTCATCAATCTGCCTCGCAGTTTTGTTGGGTGGATAAAACTTGTTTAAGAACTACTTGACTAGTTCCTCCCAAGTAGCAATGGAGTTTATTGGGAGCGAATTCAGCTAAGTTTGAGCCTCCCCAGTCACTGAGAATGGGAACAGTAATAATTTGATTGCCCCAGGAGTCACATTCGGCTGTCTTTGAGTGACACATATTGATAGAAAGTTCTTCAGATGTTGTTGTGGGTCTTCGATGTATGACCCGGAGAACATCCCTTTATTCTGCAACAGGTACAGCATGTTATTGCTAATCTGGAATATCTCCGCTTGTATCTGAGGAACCGCAATTGCTGTGGCCAGGTTATCAGCAGTCGATTGTGCCCAATCATACAGAGAAGCTTCCGGCACAAGAGGTGCTACCACTCTGACGTTTGGGTCATCTCGATCATTCTTGTTGTTCCCGTTGACGTTATCTGCTTCACCCATTCCAATTTCAATTTGTTCGTTTGTTTTAGCTGTTTGCTCTTCTTGTTAGCCCAGTTCAATGTCCGGAATGCTTTCTCGGGATCTGAGAGTCCTTCAAAGAGTTCACCAGTTCTCAAAGAGCTTCTAGGCATGCACCTGAGTCACAGAAGAGTTCAAACGTGAGAATTTCAATGGAATTATTTTTTTTAACACCACAGAAAATTGATCTAGACTAATAATCCTAGCAATTCTTCCAAGTTACAATAAATAATACCGTTAGTTCCCCGGAAACGGTGCCAAAATTTGATCACGCCCAACTATGCCTTATAAAAAGGACTAAGCGGTCGCTGCAAATATAATCTGGTTCAAGTCCGAAGTCGAATCCCACAGGGAACTAACCTATTTACTACAACTTTTAACACTGCTAATGAATAGCTCAAATAATTCCTGGATGCAATATATTTAATGGATAATGAGTAGAATTTAGTTAACTAAGGAAAAATAACACTAAAACTAGCAATAATCAAGAATAGAGTGAATTCAATGGTAAAATGGACTAGGGTTATTGATTTCCCCAATTGTCGGATTAATTCCTGACATGTTAGCTATAATCTCGCCATAACACTCTATAAGAAATATGAGTTCCGGGTTACTGCAATTATCTCCCGATCAATTACGATAATTTACTAGAAGCATTCTCTCGAACTACTCTAATTAACAATTTATGCAACTCAGAATTATCCCACCAAATCTTCGTTATCTCTAACCCTGCTTTTAAATTCAAGTAATTAATCACTTAACTTACCCGAAAGTGGTGTTGTTCAACAACAATCTAACCAAGTGTTCTTTCTCAAGCAACACAAGATAAATAGACACGATTAATCAAGGGTCCTTTCAATTAATCACAAGACAACACGTAGTTGAACAATCATAGAGTAAAAATGGCTCAATTATATCAAAACAGAGTCAAGACTTCATCCAACAATTGGTTCCATCAACCCTAGATGATGGCTTTAACTACTCATACAAATAGATAAAAATTCTCTATAGAAAGTCATAATCAACAATGGAATTAAAAAGTAGAAGATAAAAACTCTAAGGAAATTCTCTGTCTTTCTTCCGTGTTCTTGCCTTCAAATTCTCACTAAAAACAGCTATCCCTCTCTTCTGGATGAATTAGGCTTCATATAGGTTTAGGTTAATCGCCCTAGAAATTACATAACTGACCCAAGGTTAGTGGCTTCCGTCAGCTCGTCCGTGGCCGCGGATCTGACCGTGGATTTCACCCATGTTCTGTCCGCGGCCGCGGAGCTGACACTTGCTTTTCTTTCTCCTTTTCGACCGTGCTATCCTCCGATTGGCCTTCCACGCTCCATATTGACTCCAAAACACTCTTTAGCTTCCTCCTAGCTCGGAGTGGCTCCTGCAAAACGTAAAACTCTTAAGTAGAGCATTTTGTTATCTTTTGACATTCAAACATTGATAAAGTGCGGCCAACTTAGAGTGTAAATAGTATCTAAATACCATAATTATCGTCTACTATCAGTAGTAATCTTACCGCAATTTGTATTTTCATAACTTGCATGATTTACACATGATTTTTAATACGAATATGTTACCGATTATTTTGAGTTGCATGTGGGACAAGTCTTTTACTCGATATGATACCGAAATAGTTATCTGAGATGATTATCGTTGTTTTAAATATTTTCGTTGTCACTAGATATGTTTTACCGTTACTTGAACTGTTATCAAAACGAAATGAAATTTCATGATTTGATATGCCCTACATTGTTTAAAAATATTTTCCTATGAGTATATATGGATTACAGAGACAAGTAAATATTGGGAGTAGACTTTGAAGGATCCCGTAGCTAACGGCGGGTTCGTTAGACCTGTGCACCTTGTAATTACCGATTACCATTATAGCCCTCGCTAGTGGGAAGGTACAACTAGCATACCGTTACCAATTTCCCTCACGTAGGGACTACTGTTATATTTGACTTCTTGCGAAGAAGTTCACAGTTATACCGATTACATGATCCATTCATTGAAACCTCCCAAACATGAGTATTGATATTATACGGTATTTACCGAGCTTATTACTGAATTGTCAATTGATTTATATTACATGAAAACATGATGATACTGATTATTGTTTATTGTTTCTGAAAGGGCAATCTTATGATATTTTCTGTTTAATATATATACTGGCATATTTTCTGACTTGTCCCCATTAAAAACAATTGTGGTTAAGTGTTATTACTCACTGAGCTAGCGATTCACTCCCCGCTATTGTTTTTACAGAGGCAAAAGTAGACGCAGGCGAGGATTCCGTTAATTAGAGTACACGAGTTGACAGTTCCTGATGAGCCTCGTATTTATTCGCGTGGACAAGGATTGTTATTTATTTGTTTGTCTCTTTCTTGAAACTCTTAGAGTCGCTCCATAGTCATGAGTACTGATGTAGACTTGTGACTCGTATTAGACTTTCCTATCGTATTTTTGGAGATAGAGTTAGTTTTATTGTGTTGGGAGTACTTCATTGATGAGGATTATAACTTTTTGGCGGATATTGATTGGTTGTGTTGGTAATTTCTAAGACAGATTTATTTTTAGATAGTCCTAAAATAGGGAAATTCTGTCCGATTTTCTGTAAAAAATCGATGAGGCTTACTTGGGAGTACTTGCTCCTAAGCGCCGGTCATGATCCTATATTGGGTCGTGACTCCACACCAAATCGGCCGTTACATAAAGTGGCATGATAGTAGGCTATAAATATGTGTTTTGGCTACTATTTGCACTCTAAATTGGCTGCACTTTATTGATGTTTGAGCGTTGAATGTGAGTAACTTGCTCTGATTGAGTGTTTTATGCTTTACAGGAGAAATTCTGGGCGACAATGAGGTTAAGGAGCGTTTTGAGCCAATATGGAAAGTTGAAGACTAAGTAAAAACTTATGGAGTAAATTGGGAGGTCGTTAGAGGATCGAAAGAGGTTAGCGCATTTAAAAAGAAGAACGAAGAAGAGTGCAGGAAAAGGCCCAGGTGGGCGGCCGCGCACTGACACCGCATTGGGCCGCGCAAGTCAGGCAGAAAATTCACAAAGTGCACGGCCAGATGCGCGGTCACCCTACTCTCTCTGACTTATATGAAGCCCAACTCGCCTAAAAAGAGGGTATATTGGTTTTTATAAGAATTTTGAAGGCAGGAACAGGCAAGAAGCAAGACGGAAGATTCGGCAACGATTTTTTGTCTTTCTTCCTCTCATTTTTATCATTGATGATGAATTCTATTGTTATGATTATGAAAACGATTATGCATAGCCAAACTCCTAATCTAGGGTTGTGATGGAACCTTTTGGAGGATGATTTTCTTGTTATGTTAATATAGATTTGCCGTAGTATTTTCTCTATTTGTTCAACTATATTGTGATTGTTGTTGATTGAAGGGCCCTCAATTGACTGTGCCTATTTAGTATGTATTACTCGGGAGAGAGTGCATATTTAGGTAGTTGTTGAACAGCATCACCCCTAACGTATATGATGGATCAATACGAAGGGTTTAAAGGTGGGATTAGGGATTACGAAACCTTGGTGCGATCTGAGTGAGCTGGTCTTAAGGCCAGCTAGCATAATTTTGGAGAATATGTCTAGTATATTGTGGTAATTACTCAGGAGAGAGTTACGACAGTCAGAGTGATCATGATCGGTAGAGAGACTTAGGCAAATTTATAGGAAACATAGCAGAAAGGATTCCGACAATAGGGGAAATCATAATCCTAGATCATT